AGGCGCACACAAATGCCCCGGCGGGCGCCATGGCACCCTCAGGCACCGTGTTGGGGACCACTGCTGTAAAGTATACCCCTTGGCTATGTCTAATTTACATCCCTTTTTCGGAAAAGGGATGTAAATTAGACATATCGCAATTGCTAATGAAGCGGGGATTTAAATCTCCCGCGCTTCATTAGCATAAAAAGTGGCTGCCGCTTTTTTTCGGCACGGAGCTTTGTGGGAGAAAAATACCAGTCTAGACGCTGATCTTTCGAAAAATAAAGCCTTTTCCGAAAGATCCCTTATCCCGTATTTCAAGTGTGCACGCATTGGGGGTACTTATAATTTTTTATAAAAAAGGTACTGTATAAAAAAGGAAAAACTTAAACCACCAATAATTTAGTGGCACTTTGAAGACTAGCAGAACATGTAGATGGTATCGCGAGCTTTCGTGGACAAAACCCACTTCTGCTCATGAAGCCATCTACATGTTCTGTTGGTCTTTGAAGTGCTACTAGACTATTTGTTGTTTTTTTAAGTTTTTCCTGTTACAGACTAACTCGGCTAACCCCTCTGAAGCTTATAAAAAAAGGCTGAGAAAGCTTTGGGCAGGCAGGAGTGTTGGTAAAAATATATCAGACTTGTGCACACGGTGCCTGCTCTACCTCAGCTGGTGCTGGATAAGCAGAGCCTCAATTCTAAAGGAGTTGGCATTACTGAGGTGATAGATCCCTCCCCCCCCCCAAGTTTTTTTTGTGGATTTTCCCCCCAAAATGCTGGTGTTTTCTATAGGTCATATCTACAGTGCCCCTTCCCCAACAGAAAGCCAGGATAGCTTCCACAAAAGTGTTAAATCTAATCAATATGGATCATGCAGGGATTTCACCCCGCCCCAACAGAAAGCAGGGAAACACAATTACCAAGGTTTATCTCATCCCTGTTTATAAAGGTGAACAGGGCTTGACCAACTGCTGAATCTACTCGCCCATGGCCGGTCGCTCCGGGCGCCCCATTCACCGGCGCTTCGCGCGTGAGCAGTGCGGGGCTGGCGAGTGGCTCTTGCCAGGGTGTGTCAAGCCCTGAAGGTGAACAACACTGACATCCCTGTAGCCCCGTGACAATCAGTCCCGGATAACACAGGGGAGCCCTGAAAAATGCCTTGCAATATGGCCTCATAAGGTAGGCGCTAGTGCAAGCTCTGCTGGGATTGTAGAAGAGCAATAATTGCTTCCTTAGAGATGGTGGAAGGGCAATTAAGAGGCAAACATACTGTCCATTAAGCAAGTATTTCTTTTTGTCAGTTATGAGTCAATTGCCATTGTGTGTGGATACAGGGGTGACACACAGAACACAGACCAGCCAAAAAAAGTCTTGGGAGGATGGGTCTTTGTGGTATGACAATTGTAACACTGCCACATTCTTTTCTCTCCACTTGATTTTCACTGGCCAAAGTTTGTTCTGAACCATCTGTTTTGCTCAATGATACGCAGCCCTCAGCTGCCAAATCCTTACTTGGTAGGCAGGCTCAATAGGCAACATGGAGTGAGTTCAAGAATTTGGGGTCATTCTCATGGTAGCTCTTTAAGGAAAGTAAAAACTTTAGCCACTCTGGCAGCCTGAAAACATTTTTGGGGTGTCTCAACACCCACCGAGTCTTGTCGCTAAGGGAAATGCTTCTGTTGGAATTCAGACCATCACTTTCCAAGCTTAAAATATTGCTTTCAAGCAACACAGTGAAGAAAATAAATATGAAGAGGTATTTGATGTCTCAAAACCTTGTGATCTGACCAGCAGTTGGTACCTAATGATGCAAATGAGCTTAACATCATGAGATCTCTTCACAACACTAACAATTTAATCATGTGCCAGGGTTCTGAAAAGGGCCTTATTTGTTGACCTGCTAAAACATTTACTAGTGAAGACTAGTTTGTGTTCAGTGCATTTGGAGAGTAGCAGCAAGCTGTAACAGCTTGCATTATAAACTCTGATGACCTATACATTGTTCCAAACAACCCTGGTGGAAATCACCCAGGATGATCAATCTATAGTTACATGGAACTGACTTGATGCTATCAAGGGTTTGCATGGATCACTCTCAGTGCATGTGCGCTAATGACAGAAGCGTAACAACCTTTAGCAAAGCTGACATGGGAGAGCACAAGTCTCGTTAGCAACCTTCAGCAATGACTGAAATTCGTGGGCAGTCGTAAAACACATGGCGAACCCCACTGTGTTCATCCTCAGACTTGCCAACTCAATAAAGGTATCTACAACATCTGCTTCTAGCTGCGACATATCAGCTAGTCTTGTCTGAGTGCAGCCATGGCTAGATTGCACCATGCCAATATTCTACAGACTATAATGGTTCTATATTTAGGTCCATTACTTCTGTCAAGGAGCATGTGACATTTCAAGGTTGCAAAATGTATTGCAGTGGATTGGGAACCCACACCTGAAGGAACAATGCCAGAAAGCTTAACCAGTCCCACCGCAACTCTACTTCATTTTTGAAAGCTGTTGTATGGATATAGCCATATCCATGGCACCAGAAATAACACAGCAAAACAACCTCATACAATAATCCCGAGCTGTCCCTCAAAGCATTTTTTAAGTCACAGCTGCTTGAAGAACGGTCTCAGGGCTGGCCTCGTAGAAAGTGACCTACTCAGGTTCCAGACTTAGGTCAGCTGAGCTCAAGTTGCACATCAGCCCTTCCACTGATCTACCAGCAACACTATCCATCTCCAAAGAGACACATGGCCAGCCCTGTACCACCGATAAGAATGGCAACCCAGACAGAAGGAAGGGAAATAGAAAAAACAAGAAATACATTTTGTATGCTTTAATGCTTCAGCTTCACAAAGCTTTCAAGACTAACTCTCAACATACTCCACGGTAACAGTTTAAATTTAATTACAGCAATAGAAAGGAAGATGAGCCACGCCACACCACAAGCATCAAGTCTCCATCTGAAGTGAGGTAACTGTACATGCAACAGGTTCTCTTCAATATTCTAGCTGAGCCAAGACTAGCTGGAAAACAGCTTCCTATCAGTGTTTTAGAACCCCCACCCCTCTCCCCTGCATTCGTACCAACAATCCTTCATCCTCTATGACCTCAGCCTGAGAATTCCCCACTCCAGCTGAGTGCAGAATACTTCAGGCAATTTTAAATTTTAAGGCTGAGTCACATTAGGTTTTTAGCATATTGTAAAATGTCGTATGCCGCTTGAAGGACATTACCCACACAAAGTAGGGTGTGATTTACCTTCTCTATCACCCACTGTGACACTAGCACTGCTTTTTTACTACTACAGCCTTGGAAGGGTAAAAAAGTCTTTATTGCTCTTTTGTCAATAGATAATTAAAAGTAGGGCCGCCAATTAATGCACATTAATGCCTGCGATTAACACAGGGCAGAATTAAAGCATTAAAAAAATTAACGTGTGTTAATCTAGGGTTACCATACGTCCGGTTTTTCCCAGAGATGTCCTCATTTTCACTTATTAAATCTCCAGCCAGACTGCTTTTTTAAATGGCAAAAAATGTCCAGGATTTTGCCCTGCAAAGGGGATCAAGAAGGGGGTGGCGGCACATGCCTGTCAAATGGAACTTTCGGAACGGCGCACCCGAACCGTTCACGGTGGCTCTGCACACGCCCCAGCGCCTGGAGGGAAAAGCGCATGGCCGCAGTGGCTCCAGTGAGACCTAGGGCAGGCCCGATGGGGGGGTTGGCTTCTGCCACGGAGTCGCTGCATTACCCTCCACCCCACTAGGTTATGTCCCCTGTTCAGGGGGAGGGGTGAGGCATTGGGTTAGAGGAGGCAGCCTGGGAGTACCTGGCTCTGGGGGAGGGATGGGTGCATTGGGTTAGAGAAGGGGGGCTGGCTGGCTCTGGGGAGGGCAAGG